TAAGTGTGACATGTTTATGGCGGATGACGTTCGCGAAATATCCCGACGCGAATGAAGGCTGTCAGTTGTACATTTCCATAATGAATGTCTCCATTTTCGCAAATTGAATGCGCGTGATGAAATTCTTGTGTGCGAGATCGGACGCCTCTCCTGATGATCTTATGAGCCGGCTCCACTTTGAGTTCTCCCCAGAGTTGAAGAGTCGCCAAGTTGAGAATATCCATTCGTGTGTGTCTTGTAGAAGAACCTGATGCTTTTTTCCTCCAAGTTACACTAAAACTTCGTGACGGACGATTTGGGTGACAGAAGAAGTGCGCAGCTGAGTTGTTTATCAACCCGTATATTGCGTTTGGGGTCTCGTGGAAATCGGGCTTTCTTTTTTTTCTTTTTTGAAAGAAATTTATGGGTCCAAGAAAGGAACGTAAACGCGTGTCGGGCTCGGATCGTTTTTCTTCGTGTGGGATGCTGGCACAGTACTCTGTTCTTCGCTGATCTTGTGTTTAGTATCTAGGCAGTTTGTTTATCAGAAAATACTTACCTCTTTTTTTTTTGTCTGACAATCCAGTTCTTTGTTTCGAAATACAGTATTTTGTTCGCATGATCTGTTGCACTGTGCGGTGTTCATTAGGATTCTTTGGCTCATGCATTGAAGTGTCTGAGCCGAAAATCGAAACCTCTCGCATTTTTGATACGGTTCAAAAACTTCCTTTTTTCTGCTTTTCCTTCGGAGTGTGTACGTATAGATTTGTTCTGGCCTTTGATGCGATTTGCGCGGGTTCCTGATTCCGAATTTCCGCTCTAAATGTTGCATTCTAGGGCTTTGGAAACTAGGGGACGGAGTTTATTCAAAGTTGAGAATGCTTTTGGTGGAAGAAATGATCTTCTCCCGTCAACCGTGCAAGTCTGTGTATTCTGGTGCTCTTTTCGAATGTCTGGGGACTGAATTTTCGAAGAGCTGTCAGAAAGTCTTTTCAGAAGAATCGACGGGGATCCTCCCTAAGTGCTAAAATGTGAAAAGCGGATGCAATTTCTGGGGGGAAAACTCGAAACTCTTCGCTGAAGGTGATGAAAGAGTGCGAGGATATTTTCAGAAGTTCTCGGATTTCACCGGATAAGCAAAAGCTGTCATACGAGATGGTCGCGAAATATTTCCGTGCGCATCCTCTCATTTTAAAAGCGTCTCTTGACTTGAGATTTTCAATTTGAAAAGACACGCTGTTTTCGAAAATAAAAGTAATCCAAGCTCGAAATCATTAAAGCAAAATTGAAAATTTTCTAAGCGAAAAAAGTGGTTCTGTCCACGCCGGAACTTGTAAAAGGAATTCGGCAATCGCATTTCCCGAAGCCTGATATTTCCGGGCTTTTGCTGTAGAATGGTTTATACCATTAAAATTCATTTGAAGTCGATTTCACGCGTTTCGTCAGTCCGAGAATTTTCAAAAATACCCTGGTTGTCGAAAGAGCGCTACTGAATCTCGCACATTTTCCGGGGGAATTTTTCCAGCGAAAAGATGTGACGCTTTTTCTGTGGTGAGGCTTTTCCCTTGCGATTGCTCTCATGATTTTGTTGGACTTCTTCGGATTGGGGACAAGCAAAGTTGTCCCTCTGCAAAAATGATAAGGAACACACTCACTAAAAAAAAATGAAGATAGAAGGAAACTGGGTAAAAGAAACGGAACCCGCCTCATGATTGCACCTGCGATGATGAAGATGTTATCCGCTTCGCCGCCGGTAGCGTGCTGTCACGCTTGTCGCTACCCTGGTTTATTTATCGTTTTCGTGACAAGGTGCGACCTATTGCGCAGTTACCCATTCTGCTTCTTTTTTTTTTTTTGCGACGCAGTGAGTTCACTTTTTTGAGTTGGACACTTTCGTAACCATCTGCAATAAAAAAATTCAAGTTTTACGTCGCCTCGGATTGCAACTCGCCCAGTTCAAACTGGTTTTTATTGAAAATTAAGCAAGAAACCTATGAAATGTAAAATTTTGACGCCAGATCAGGTTTATTGCTTGTCCGTCGGAAACTGGATATTTTCTGCAGTACTGTTGATTGAATTTCGAAAATGTTCTGTTGGAAAAGTTGAATCAGACTCTCTGCAAAAATTTGATCTTCCGTGTTGTAAATTACCGGTTTATGAAAATTGTTTTTAAGCCTGGCAAGCTTCAGCGTATTTACTCATTTTGCTTTATATTGTACATTGTATATTTTTGAGTTTAAAACGTTCGCAGCCTTCCACAATGAAAAGTTTTATCTCGACCCACGTTGCAACTCACCAAGTTCCAATTGTTCATTGAATATTTAAAGAAGGGCTCTGTAATAGAATATAGGCTTGGAAAATGTTCCGAGCCGGAGAAGTTTTGTTGCTTGTTCGTTGGTGAGAAAAATTGGGCGTATCTCTTGATATCCCGGATATTTTCTGTAGTACTTCATTGGAATTTCAAAATTGCTCTGGTGGCGAGTTTCGATTAGGCTTGCGAACTCTCTAAAAAACGTTGGTCTTCGACGTTGTAAATTGAAGAATGATTTTTTTTTTTCAATTTCAGCACTCATCAGCGAACGTTCTAGATGTGTCAGAAGCTCAGTTACAAGGGTGTTCGCTGTATTGTAATTTATTTGTAGTCCGCCGAAGAATTGTGGAGAGTCCACGTGAATAGAATTAGTTTTGGGGGAATACAATGAAAAAGCTTTCGTTCCTGCTCAGAAATCCCCCAAAAATAATCGCCAAGAACAAGTCTTCTGTTTCTAATTTTGGGCTTTCGAGGTGTGAAGAAGATAATTGCATCGACTTGCGAGGAAACTTTCTTCGAGGCACAATTCGGTGGTTGATTTATTTATGAATCCCGGCTTACTGTATATTCTCTCCGAAAATCGCGTTTCAATCAAATCACCTTCGAAGATGATGAAGAGAGAGAAAAAAAACTTTCATTTCGCTGACCTAAAAGCGGGGAAATTGTGCGTGACCCTGTTTCGGAAAAGTACTCGCGAGGCGTAAGTTCGGAACTGATTAGCTCGTAACTAATCATGAACCCCATGCAGACTTCGCCCTCCTTCGAGAAAACTCTCTTCCAGCGGTGTGTCAGGAAAATTTTTGCGTTATATGTTGCGAAATTAGTTACAGCCTAGATACTGAGAGGGAAGCAATGCGAGAATGGTTTTCTCGTGATCGGGACAAGGAGTATTTTTGGAGACTTGAAAAAAAAAATATTTTTTCTGGGTTTCACCTCATTTTGGAAGTTTTTTTTTTTAGTGAACTTTCCATCGGAACCCTAGACTTTAAAAATGCATGGCGGGGAATATGTCGGGGTCGGCAGAGGGTGTGAAGTTACCCAACGCGAAACTGGAAAACCTGAGGGGTTTTCCCTGTTGCCCATTACGGCGCCTTGTGCACTTCTTTGTGGGCGGGAATTGCGTCTTTTCTTCCGTTTCGGCTTCGGCACGCTAATAGCGGCAGACCTTGGAAGGAAATAGTTTGCTGGATACAGTCTGACGTTCGTTGTGCTGCTGAATTTGCGACGGAAACGCTTTTTTTTTTTGCCATGACCTGAACAACATCGTGATTTTTCTTCGTCAACATTTTGATTTCTTAGAAAATCTTGGTGTAATTTCGATTTGTATGGTGATTTTTATTTTCCCTTCTGAAGTACGTTTGAATTGCGTGACTGTTCGTGAAAATTGGTGCAATATTTTAGCCGACTTATATCGTCAATTTTTCATGTGGTTATTCGGGTTGAGGATCGGAATTTTGCTGTAAAAATCATGCACAAATCTCGACTTGATTTATTCTTTATCAATGCGGTGCAGTATTTATTATCAGGCAAAATTGAGGGTAATCAGATGACTGATGGTTGAACTTGGGATTGATCCAGTTGAAAGTGGTTCGATTCATTTCAAAACTAAAACTTTGATAAAACTACGAGTGGCTTTCCTTTCCGTGTCTTAAAAGAAGTAGGTCATTCATGTTGAACACAACTTTCTGCTTTCTGTTTTAAATAGCTGAATAGTCAATTGAGGCTGGGTGCGGCAACTGCTGCAGGGGTACCTACAGCGAAACCCCATCCTGAGGCAAGTTCGTTGCAGGCGGATCGCGCTTTCTTTTGTAGTCTGTCAGAGAAACGATCCGGTTCCTGGGTCTTCATTTTATTTTACATTTTTGTTTTAATATTTTTTTTTTCTTTTCTTCGGACTTAACCGCAGTGGAGTCGACAAATTTTGACACTTTTTAGCATTCGCTTCAACCCCGTGACACCTGTGGGTCTTTTTTACGCGAGACGTTTGTTAGCCAGACGGAAACGTGTGATTGTTGCGGGAAATGGTTTTATATTTGATTACTTCTTTGCCGATTTTACACGTATTCTCCAGACCCGGTAGTGGATTCTTTCTCTCGTCTTAAGTGGGTTAAGCAGGGTGCTGACTCGAAATTGAGCGCCAGTACTTGCCGCGTTTTATCCTTAGGAGTACTAACTGGATGCCAGAGAACGAGTATTTATTGTTCCTTTTGCATGTGGTACATCTGTTTTGATCGGATTCAACCCTCGCGAATGATGGCTTCGCACTTCAGGCAAAATGTCTGTCGGGCCGAGCCGTCGAATGTTCCTGTAATTTTTTTTTTGTAATTACTTTTTATTATCACAACCCGTCGGTTTGATCGTTGCAGCTACGCGAGATTTACTATTAGTGTTGTTCCCGGTTTCGCGAGAAATCGTGAAATGTATTAATTTTTCTTTTCTAGTGGCTTGGGAGACGTTCAAAAAATTTTCAGCTGTTGGTTTCCTACTAAGAGGCTTTAATTTGGTTTTTGTTTGAGAATCGGGTGAAATTTTTCGAACGTCCACTATTGATTGTTTATTTAAAATGATTCCCGGTGACGGTATTCCGACTTTTCCCGAATTGAACTTACAGTTGTTTTTTTTTTTTTTTTTTAGATGCAGTAGTATAACTGAGAGCATGTTTTCTGTCAACAGTTCGCAAATTTACTAAATAAAACCAACTTTTTTCCAGGCCTCTCAGAATGCTATGGCGTCGCAGTTGCTGAAGACGCCATTGTCGGTGGCCGGTCAGACGGCTTTTGTCAATGCGAATCCCACTATGGCGGCGGCAACGAGAGCCGCCTACGCTGGAGTGTCTTCTGCGGCGGCGGCCGCCGCTGCCGCCCAGCCGTCCTTGGCTGGTTACGCACTCGGGTTCGTATCTGATCGAGGACAAATTTTCTCGTGAGCATTGTTGTAATTGTTTCTTATATACTGTATATTGAGGCTTTTCCCTTTTTGGATGATGGAGTATTCGGTAGTTGCTTGTATATTTCTGCATGGCGTACCCGGAATCATAGTTATTCAGAGTACGAATTTGGAAAATTCGCGGGAGATGCAGTTGATTGTCTTAAAGGATTATAAATTGTATAAGTCTGCATAACGCTCGCATATGATGATTAATGCGCTATGAGAACCAAGAGAACGCAAACACTTCTTTGTATTCTCTTATCTGCATAAAATCATGGAAAAGAAAAATGAGTTATGTGAAAAATGTTATGTTATTATACTGTATACTAATGACATGTGTTCGATTCCGGAGAAGGAGGAAGATTATTCTAATCCGCTGAACAACGATCCTTATCTGTTAATGAGAGAGAGAGATTTCAAGAAAAACTATTTTCTATTTATCTAATATTTTCAGGAAAAATTATTTCTTGTCTCAATCCATAGTTTTACACATCAATTGTTGATGAACTCTGAGATTTGCCAGAAAGAGGTCAAAAAATTTTTTTAATTTCCTTGGTTGCCGAACACTTGTTGGGATGATACGAGAAATTTTCACATGCCAGAGATTTTTCAGCGTGTATCTGCGAACCAAGTTTTGATTCCGGAAGTGTTGCTTAAGCATTTTACCAATAATTGTCTGCATGGGGAAATTCTTGGTATTGGAATAGAGAATGCACTTGTTTCGGTAGGTGAATGTTCGATAGATGCATTTCATCTTATGCTTTATTGCCGTTGAAATTTAATTTATGTACATTTTTAAAATTGAAGGGCTTATCCACCGGAAGCGTTCCTGTCCAGCGGCATTGGACCTATCCCCGGTTATGGGGTGAGTGTCAAGTTTTTTCTCTCGCTGTCTTCAGTCTATTTTGAGTTCTGACTGTCTTGTGTTTCGTCGTTGACAGGCGACAGTCTACAGAGGAGCGTACAACAGATTCTCGCCGTACTAAGACGAACGTCAGTTTTGGAAGAGAAGGAACCTCACGGATGAGGTAAGGAAGAAAGGAAAAGGGAAAAAATACAGAAGATATACGAAAGAATAACGGAAACCAAATGACTCGAACGTGCGTGAGAGGAGTATGAATTGTATGGAATACCCCCCGATGTGGACGTCAGCGCAGTTGCTGATCTTGTTCTGGTTGGATATTCTTCGCAGGGAGATAGATGCATCTTCCTTGTCGAGGTTTTTTGTTTCTTTTTTTTATCGTTCCTTTTTACGGAATTTTCGATTAAAACCGTGCACATGCTTCGTGCCAACTGTTTGCCGGCTCCCGCGTAATTGAAACTCGTTACTTGCCACATGTCTGAGTTCGAACGATCTGATTTCACGGATGTGCCCTGGGTTTCATGCCTTTGGTCGTGATGAGTCTCCTACGTTGTTAGTGTGCGTTGTTTATTCGAAACCGTTCATTCGTTGCTCATGGGATGCGTGGTTTTGTTTTTGTCGGTTTCGAATACTATTTTGTTTCTGGTTTTAAAATTTCTTCTTTTTTTTTCGTGGTCCGGGATGTATGTCACCGAACGCAGTGACCCGCTCGCTGATTGTTCCATATCCGCAGGCATTACTGGGACTACAGGAATTGTGAGGGAAAGAATTCTCCAAATGCTCTCTAGGGTGAAAAATCGATGATCAAGGGAGGCTGGTACGAAGCAAGGGTGTGTGTGTTTGAAAAGATTGTTTTTTTTTTGTTTGTTTTTTTCCGTGAAAGTCCATGTCTTGTCTTTCCTGTGTGAGAGCTAGAATTTGATGAGGGATCTGAGTGTTCGGGATCTGTGTGTGAAACTTGGACATGCGTTAGCTATGACGACCTTTAGCCATCAAGTTTTCTATGAGATGCACAATATTTTCCTCGATATACAGATTAACATCTTTGCAAAGTTTCAATTCGAGAAATTTCCACTTGAATTTTCCGCGAAGAAAAGAAATCATCCCAAGAGTCTCAGTATCAGTTCTGTTATGGGTTTTTTTTTTAACGGCATCCGCAATCAAGAAAGAAATGCGAAGTTTGACGCATTGTAGCGAATTGTTTTTTGTTTTCTCACTGAAGATCTGATTAATCGATCATTGTATTAGATCGTAATCTTGACGTGGGATGTATTGGAATGTTTTGCACAATTTCGAGGAACTGATGAAGAGGCGTTGTTCTCCGATGTTGGGGGGGAAAAGTGGGAAACTTTTTGGCTAAATAAAGTCCTGAGGATTAACGAGGGATAATGAGTGCGTGAGATTGACACAGAGAAACTCAAAAGCGTTTGCATCGTGGTCGCTGTAAGCTTGTGTTGCAGTATTTAAATTAGTTGAGGCTACCGCGCGTTTCGTTGGATCTGGTGAAACTAGCTCAAGTCAGTCAATTCTTAGAAGCTCAATGTACCGGTTGAGATTTGATAGAAGTCAATGGAAGAGAAAAAAAAAAGAGAAATTGGCGAACAAATGCACAGAAAGCATAATGATCGAGTTATCGAGTAAATGGGTTGTTGTTCATTACATCCCAACTGCCTTGAAAGAGATTCCATGCGCAAGTTTTGTAAAAGATTGCAACAGAAAAATTTTAAGGATTGTTTCACTCGACCGCTCCCCTGTGTTTACAATCACAAGCCGGCTTCACTTTGTTCTGAATCGATGTGGAATCGCATTCAAATTTGAATACTCATTGCTAATCGCATTTTTGTTTGAAACAATCCTTGCCGTTGTATAGTTGTTGGAAGTGATATTTCTGTAAAAAAGAAAAAAAGAAAAGAAAAAGATGTTAATGGAGTGCTAGGTGTAACATTGCATTTCCATGCGGCATTACTTCTTGTCCACGGGTGTTTCTGTTTGGAGGCGTATGTAAGAGAATGCTATTCAAAACGAGAAATTTCTGGTGTACTTTCGTCTCGCTCTGTGTTTTACTCGTACTGTAGCACCATGATCTTATTTTTGTGTTTGAATTCTTGTGTGCGTATGCTTTCATATGTCTTGGGATTCCTGATGTGGGTGTAACTTGGGTAATTTCGCATAGTCCCGCTGAAAGATTGTGTTTGGATGCGTTATGAAGTAAAAATGTTTTTTTATGGTCCGATATGTGTTCCATTCATTTGTGGCGATGATCATGCGAAGACGAACGACTTCTAAGAGCTGACGTATAAGATGCAATGAGGTATTGTGCATAATACAGTACAGTATTTTACATTTACAATATAGAAGAACTTTTTCCCTCCAAGAAACTGACAATAACGTTTAGGTGACCTAAATCTGAAGATATCGGTGGGGGTTTTCAGAAGGCCTCGCTGAACTGAAGTACTGTATTGGTTGCCGAAGTTATTCTTATTTTAGATTTCTTCGCTATTTCAGCTTTGGAAGATACTGTACTGTATACCTGTACCAGACAACGAAGCACAGTTCGATATAGAGTACACGTAAAAGTGCGAAAAATACAACGAAACCTTTTCCATTGATGAAGTTGGTTGGTGAGTATATCAGAGCATAGCATTTTAACCTACCCTGCTGAGTCCGGTTAGTCCAGCAGCTCCGTAGAATTTTCTCCGACGAAAGGTTATTCAGGTGAAATCCGGGATTACCATAATCTGTGCTCGGATTCATTACGATCATACCATACGGTACTGCTTTCATCCAAATACAGTACTGTACTTTACGTGTAACTTCGCTTCAACAAATACATACGAGGAGGTAATGCTTCCGACGAATGGAGCTAGTGTAGTTTGAACTTTGAGGTATACTAAATTATTATTTCGACTCGGAGATTATTCACAGGACTTCTATACGCCTTTTTCTCGGATACACGCAAAATTTGTTCAGTGTCTGCGCAATTATCAACTTCACTCTTCGTCCATTCTCAAGATGTGGCGTTTTTCCACAAGTGGGTACTACAATACTTTAGAGGGGAATATTTTGTATTCGGACAACTAATTCGTGAATAATTGCGTCCCATGGTTATAACCTTCGCGACAATGATACCTACATTTCCGTAGATCGTATTAGTCGAGATTCAGGTGAATGTAGTGACATCTGAACTGTGACGAAGTTAATCGAAATCCGGAAGCTCCCAACATCAGCGGTCGCACGTTCAACGGATCCTGTTGGTCTTGGAAGCCCTGCATTTGGGAACTCGTGTGTAAGTGCTGACAAACTGTGCAGGCCCAGCACTGTCTGATGTCCACGCTTGGAAAGAGTGAAAATTTAGCTGTTAGAGTACTTTTATTTCGTTTCCAGAAGTTGTTCCGCGTGTATTCACCCAGTGCACCAAGTTTTACCTCTGTTGATTGATCATCGATTTTTTCCAGCTTTTACTCCCGCATTTCTGAGAAGAGCTTAATTTTTCTATTCAAAGTCGTTCGAATCGCGTTATGAAGTGGAATACAAAATTCGGTGAAGGTGCATAAGCACTGAAGTGGAAGTACCAGCATGAGCCAGCCTGTTCCTGTGCCCCAAGCAAAAAGTTTGCCTCAACAGAAAGAAGCACTTCTCAAGGGACATCACAAGCAATTGAAAGACGACATCAAAGCGATACTCGAGAATTTTCACGGTAAGTGGAAATGTTGAAAGTCACTCTTACGTTTGATCGTTCATGGGTACCCTCACAGAAATCGTCAAATTGGGAAAGATCGAAGAAGAAACGCAGGTTAACCGGTACACTCAAGTTGAAGAAGATGCATTGGAAATGCAAGTGAGAGCCGCTAACATTGTTAGTATGATAAGTTTTCTGAAAGTTTCGGACTTGTAGCTCATCAATTTTCATACTAGGTGCGTGCTGGCGAATCTTTGATGAAATTGGTGGCTGAGTTGAAGCAGTATCAAATCTTGAACGATTTTCCTTCCGTGAACGAGTCTATTGATAGAAATACGAAGCTCTTCAAGGATTTGCAAGCTGAAACTGATCGGAAGTTGATGGCATTACGAGACGACATCGCTACCGAGCTGTACGAATTGGAGGAAGAATACTACACCTCCATGTTCAAATGAAGGTATTCATGCGTCAATGAGCTTCGTCGGCGGAACAATAGACTTCATCAAAGTGAAAATTTTCAAGACCCGCAAGAAGATGTGCATGTGCGACATGCGTGGCATGTATCGTTGGAATTTTTGGGGGAAGTGCCGCATCTGCTATCGAATTTTTGCGTGGATCCCAGTACTCTTCATACTGGCAGTTGTAGCATGGGCATATTATGCCTATGTGTTCGTGTTGTGCTTTACCGTGGTCCAAGAGCGGTGGATTGCGGCCCTTTACATGGTCTTATTCCATGGTACTTTGTTCCCATTTCTTTGGGCTTACTATCAAGTCGTCATGCGGAATCCGGGGGAAGTTCCCACGCATTTTAGGCTTTCAGCTGAAGCGTGCGACAGGATGCAAGGGATGAATACCGTGGCGGATCAGAATCGGTTTCTGAATGAAATCGCCCGCGGTTTACCGCTGATAACGAGGAGTTTCGAAGAAAATGTCAGGTTTTGTGAAATATGTGCGCACATCAAGCCCGACAGAAGTCACCATTGCAGCGTTTGTGGGACGTGTGTTTTGAAGATGGATCATCATTGCCCATGGGTGAACAATTGTGTCGGCTACGCAAACTATAAATTCTTCATACTCTTCCTCTTCTATGCATTCGTGCTTTGTTTCGTCGTTGGATTGACAGTACTGCCCCATTTCATTGCATTTTGGGAGCGCACGGGGCTTTCAGATCCCACCAGCACGGAACCAAGCCCAGGATTCGGGTCAAGATTCAATATACTTTTCTTGTTCTTCGTTGCCGTGATGTTCGGAATCAGTGTATCGATTCTGTTGTCGTATCATATGCACTTGGTTTCAAGGAATCGAACAACCTTAGAAGCTTTTCGACCTCCGGTATTGTCCAGTGGACAAGACAAGCATGCCTTTGATCTCGGTTGCTTACGTAATGTGGAACAAGTCTTCGGCCCGACGAAGCTCATGTGGTTTGTGCCGATGAAGACTTGTGCCGGAGATGGTGTCGTTTATCCTACTCGAGCTGGAGTTCGTGTGACAACGTACGCCTCGATGGAAGATGGGGCGCAAAATCCGTTGCATTCAGATTCTTACGGTGGGAGTGGTGACGGTGTTGGACGACTGGACTCTTCGCGGTATGATACTGCGCCATTGACTAATGGAGCTGCTCTGGATACTGGTTTGAATGCCGTGGTCATTGACTCCACTGTAAAGTGATTTTTTTTTTCCGTTCGTCTGCTTTGCTTTCATCGTGTATAATTGTGATGTTGAATGAATTCTCATTATCCACTTCGGTATTTTGTGTCAGTTGGATGTATTCAGGGTTCGTGTTCTTTTTTCGAAATAACGCCTGTGTACATGCTGTCAAGAAATTCTTTTTGGGCCGGATAAACTAGATTATATGTTTTCGACGTCGACTAGTGAATGTCTTCTAGAGGTAAGAGGTGTGAACAATTTTTGCTTTCGGCCGTTCCTCGAACGTATGACGTGTTCGCGAGGTTGTACCTTTTTCCCGCTTTAACCGGGGCTCGCAATCATTCTGAACACGAATCGAATTGTCAAGGCCATGAATTCCGTATGTTTCATCCTATATAATCGAAGAATTCCAACCCCTGCAGAAAATTTTGCTATTTTATTTTATTATAAGATGAAATCTGTGATCGCTGTTGAACGGCGCCGTTTGTCATGGAGAAGGTTGTCTAATCGGATTCTTGCCTTCGTTGCTTATCTGTTGAGTGTGAATTTTATCGCCATTAGTGTCCGAATCGCTCCCTCTACGAAATTTTCATGAATGTTTTCATGTAAAATGCAATCTACTTGAGTGTGCTGCTTTTGTTCCTGCGGAACCTCTTTTTCAATTACTATTCTGTTCCGTGGTTGATGGCATGTGTTTTATTTTCAGAATTTTGTGAGACTTTTGCAGGATTGCTGTCGAAAATTTATATAATTGTAACTCGAAGACGGCTTCGTGATGTGCTATAAAATGCGTACTGAATCGGATTGATACTGTTTTTGAACTCTTCGCTGGTATCAACATGGAAGATTCCTGCGATCAACTGTGAGTTTATTTCGCTCGACCCTACCGGTTTATTATTTCGTGCTTCTTTGATGACTTGCTGTTTCCGATTTAGCGAGGACGAACTGGTGGACGAAATTAATGCGCTCACAGTTGAAGACCTCAATAATGAATGCTCAACTAGACTTATGAAATGGATGAATTATTTGGATGTTGATCCAACAATGGAAACGGAGCTGCATACGTTTCCTGAAGTTTTTGACTTACCCGAGCAAAGTCAACTTAGGAAAGATTGCGCAGAAGCTGTTGGTAAGTGACAAGTATTTCTATTTGTTTCGTTATTTATTTCTGAATTGATCTTTCGGGTTCGCAGAAAAACTAGGTAATGAAGACGAAGACAAGGTTTCAGTCCTGTCCGATCTTGAATCAATTTTGTCGTGCTATTGCAAGCAGCATGAAATACCGTATTCCACGAGCAACGGCTGGTTGGATGTAATTCTACCGCTCATATCTTTGAAGGCTTCGAAATACGAGCTGTACGCTATGTTCTCATCCATGATGGAAAGATATGTGCCAAGGTTTGTTGCTTATCTCTTCCGCGTTTCTGGGCGAGCTCGTGTTTGGACTGAATTTAAGGATTATATTTTATATTCTTAATTTGCAACAAGATTCCAATCAAAATTTTGACGTTTGTTTTGAATCAAATACGAATTGCAGAGATTGCTCGTTGAAAGGGAAGCCATTCCATCTTTTCCGACTCTTGTTGTTGTACCATGAACCGGAATTATGCTCCTTCCTAGATTCCAAAAAAATTCTACCTGATGCGTATGCTATGCAGTGGGTGAGTGCATGGTTCGTTGAGATTTACCAGAGCTCTCCAATTATGCAATACTCTGTTTTCTTAGTTCCGCACTCTGTTTGCCTCTTCCACCGCGCTCAGCGTGATCCAGAATGTTTGGGATTATCACTTTCGACAGGAAGACCCGTTTTTCCTATTCTTTCTTGCGTTAGTACTGCTCATGAATCAAAAGTGAGTCCTTTTGATATTGAAAATATTTTTTCGAGTCGAAATTCTGCATATTGCGAATCGATTTTTTTCAGAGGGGCTATCCATGATTTTCAAGGGGCTTCGGATGGATTAGTTGACTTGATTGTGGGAATACCAAGCGGCGTATGTGAAGACGACGTTGAGGACTTGTGTGCATTAGCGCATTATTATTCGGTGAAAACTCCGCATTCTTATTGGAATGTAAGTTCTTCCTTGTCACGTATGACATTAATTCGAAAATATTTGATTTTTGGGATGATCTGGTGATGGTGAATTTTTGTCTGTTTCTAGTTTTCTGCGCATTTACATGTTTTTTTTAAAAGGAATTTAGGTATATATTCAACCGAGAGATCCGATTCCCTGACGAAACTGCCTTGCCAGTGGAACTGAACCTCGCACAGGCTCTGTGCATGCCAGTCACAGTTAAAGAGCTGCTGACGAGTACGTTGCTTGTTCGTCACGTTGGCGGGTGTTCTGAGCGACCCCGGTTTTTCGTCGTGGATTGTAGGCCAGCGGATCAGTACAATGGTGGACACCTGCCGACTGCATTCCACCTCGACGCCGATTTGGTGAGGGTGTTTTTCATTAAGATTGTTTGTCATTCGGGGTTTTAAGATGATGACGTTGCTTGTACCGTAACAGCTCCCAGCTTACGTTTGATACACTTTCAATGTTCTTTTACGGTTGCTATTTTTATTCGCGACGGGGCTAAACGCGTTGAATTGCTCGGGAAGTAATTTCGGTTTTTGGTTAATTAACTTCGATCTGATACCATTGACATTTCGTGTGGTGATTTCATTTCCCTTGCGTTCGTCGGAGGGAATACCTATCCGAAGTACTCGTACATCCCAGTCTCCGCAGTGCACGAGGGGTTTCTCAAAAGTCTTGCGAGGCACGCACGAATTGTTAGTACAAACAGACCAAAACTGATGGTTAATTTATATATAAGTATTTTTAGCCCAAGAGCTGCGGATACGAATTGAGAACAGTCAAAAATCTTAATAGCATTAACAAATTGAGAGCGTTTCGAAGACTCGCAGGATAATTTTTTTGCGTCACATCTGCGGAGATTATGATTTGAATCGAATTAGCTTAATTATTGAAATCTCAGAGTAACTGCTCCAGGTTACTTCAAGATCCTAGGTTAATCTTCCCTGAAATGCCACCCCATGGCCGCGGTTTTTATGAAATTCGCTCTTTCAATAATCCACGTCCAAAGATTATTGAAACCCATGGGGTGGAACAATTGTGCAAATATTACGAATGAGTTTCTGAGGATAACCGGACAGTCTTTTTTTCACCGTGGTGAGGCAAACATACATTTTTATACAATTCGTACTTTGAGAAGAGAATTGAAAAACAAGTTCTTTCTGTGCAATGAAGTCGAATTAAATGCTGTATTCGCACTCTTTTCTAGTTGAAATTAGTTCATTCGAGCCACGAGTACTAAGTATTGTATTTCACGAATCAACTGTGTCGTGTGTGCGAGTTTATCTTTCTGGTGAACCTAATACTATCTCTCGGCGGGGTTTGCAGATGCTACAAGAGCGGAACGCGTTTGCACTAGCAGCGCAGGGCCTTCTGACAGCGCAGAAACAAGCCATTGCCGCGAATAGCGTAGCCGGTGGAGAGCATCTGTGTTTTATGGGTTCCGGCAGGGAGAAAGAAGATCAGTACGTTCACATGGTCGTTGCGTATTTTCTGCAGAAAAATTGCACTTTCGTTTCGATGCTGGTCGGAGGCTATGCAGGTTCGTGTTGAATTTATTTGTACAATTTTCAATTCCGTAAGGTTTTCTGCTGAGTGTGAAGAAAATATACAATTTCAAATTTAAATTGGAAACTTTCAAATCAATTTAATTTTTCAATGATCCTGCGTTTTAATAGCGCGGGAAACTCCGGCGAAGTGTGAAATCATCTTGTCGATTTAAGCTTTTGTGTGGAAATGTGAAGTATTTCTGAGTATTTTCCGAGCAATCTTCATCTCTTTTGTATTGCAGTAATTTAAACTAGGACACCGTTTATGTCCGCTCGACTCTGCATTTTTCATCAAGAAGATTGGATCCAAAGGACTTTAAAATTTGAAGTCGTGTGCTCTTATGTTATCAGCCTTACACGATGACCTCTCCGAAAACCTTTCCGGAGGGCTGAAGAACCACAACGCGGATGCATGCATTATTTGCTTATCGGAGGAAACAACAGCGCGTACGAAAGGGAAAAGAATGGGTTCGTCAGGAGCAGTGCAAACCTCGACGAGCTCGAATATGTCTACGCTGTTCGATAAAATTGGGTAAGTCTGCCCCATTATTGGCCTTTTGGGTGAAATTCATTCATGGTAAATGAACAGTGAACCACGATGCGATGGGAATTGATTGCTGTGGCGTATTTTTTCAAGCTTGTAGAAAATTGCTTCCACAAATTGAGTGGCTTTTTTTTATGTGGATGAAATACCTCTTCGTAGAAAAGAATTATGTCTATAATCGGTTAATTCAGTACTCTTTAATAGGTCAGCGGTGAAAAGTAAATCTTCGGAAGTGAAAAAGCAGCTTGTAGACTACATAACAAATCCAACCGGAACGGGCAGCACTGTTGACGAAAAAGTGAAGCATGTATCACCTCGAGACAAAATAGGACGAATGTACCGCGGCATGGCTTCAGTCTTCACAATTGGAGACGACGATCCCGACGGTACAGATTTATTTTACTGCACCTGCTGGATCCTTTTATTGACTTCGTACCTTATGCTGCTTCAGAGGAGGGCTGTGGCGTTTCTGGCGATAATGATGATTTCAGTGCACCGGAGATCGTTTCCATTTCCACTTGGATCGCAAAACCCGACGTTGTTGGACATTTCCAATGCCACGAAATCAAGCCGAATGGTCATCTTTACGAAGCGTATGGGATTTTGAAAATGTTACGAAGTATTATACAGTACTGTAGTTATCTGGAGAATTTTCTCGTTGGAAATTTTTTTTTCGTGTAATATTCCAGGCTTTTTCTGTAAAATCAACTCACCGTGAACCAGTGTCAATTTTTTTGCGCAAATATCGTTCGAAGTTCATTATGGTTTTTGTGTTAACGTTGATTTAGGTAAAGTTTGATACAGGTTAAAGATTCCGGCGAAATCTGGTGTAAGAAACGCCCACCGAATTGTATTTGACCAAACACAATGTATTTGACGTCGGAGGAAGTTCGGAATGTCATTCGGAAACTTTTTTTTTTTTGTCGTTTTACAGAACTTTGCTAGTAACAGATACGCACATGTACATATTGCGAAAATCCGACCGCGACAATGACGAAGCGTCGATTTCTGTGAGGCGTGCTCTGAGCTCAGTTCTTAGAATCACGTCACGAAAGAAACAGCCGGAGATGATAACTTTCCGCTACGGCGTCCGGGAGGGAGAGAACTTCATCATCACAGACATGGATCGGTGAGCAGGCTCGTGAGATGTTGCAAGACTATCCCTTCCAATTCGCAGTTTGTTCTTACACGTTTCTGCAGGCTCATAATCCCGAAGGTATCCGAGGCTACAAACTTGATCAAAAGTAAAGTGCTGGAGTGCACGGAGGGCTTGGATGCTGCGGAGGCGCATCGCGGGGCGGAGGCGAGGGCTAAATCTCCTACTTAGAGAGGAGAGCTATTTTTTCCTCTGAATGCCTCTTGCACGTGGAAAGCTTCCGCAGAAGTACTTGGTTTCACCCCGTGTGTTATGCGCCTTTTTTGTTGTTGTTTTTTGGCCTTCGCAGCACATAATTTACTTGTGATGGCTTCGCGTGATTTTTTTTGCTCTCCGTCGGAAATGCGATGATTCCCCTTTTTTATTTCTGTGAAAGGGAAAAAAAAGAGAGCTTTTTGTTTGCTTTAACTTGACAAGGACGTTCGGAGTGAGTAGCGCTGTTTCAATTGATTCGGGCTTGTGTCTCTTCTCCCGGTATTTTTCGGTATATTGCACCACGCAAGTCATGCGTGACGTTCTTTGAAGTCAGCTGAAAGGGTTTTCTGGTGCCACTGTCAGATTGCGTTTCCAATGCTGGCACATTCGAGATTTCACGCGTTTGTGGAGTCATTGGAAGGGTATTTTTCACGGAATTCTTGCTGTTCCAAGGGAGTATTTTTTGCTAAATTGAGGATTGTCGTTCAAGTAGGTTGTGTTGTGGCCAATTTGTCGCTTGACTATTGCAGAAAAAATCGTCGGCAAAGAAATGCTATTCATGAGGGAAACTGTTCTGGGTGTGATGATGTGGTTGAGAAGACTTGATATTTCGTGTTTTAGGGCAAGGATAAACTTTGAAGAAAATTATTTGTCATATCAGCTGTCGCTGAAAGGAAGTGAGCGCGGAAATTTAATAAATTTTAAATATATTTCAAGGTTCGGCGCTGCGCATTATTTGCCAGTGCCATGGGTGTGAGGGAAAGAAGTGACGGGGTTTCTACGAACATTTTTCGCGCTTCGATGTTTTTTATTATTATACTCGACTTGTTTGGGTTTACATTTGGACATGCGTGGCAAGAAGATTTGTCTCCGAGGATTCTTCTGAAGGAGCTGTCGGCAAGTGGTGAGTTGATGTTCGTTATCTTTTAGAGATAACCCTCGGAAATTTTGTGCGATTCGCGGAATGGAATTATCAGGCGTAGTTTCGTCGTGTTGAGCACAGCATCAAATGTTTCAACAGATGGTGTTTTGGTGTTCGATGGAAATACGACTGACGCTGATAATTTCCGGCTGGCTTTGATCGCAAAGAATCATTTGCTGATTGGAGCTCGGTAAGATTTCTTGCTATTCAACTGAAAAAAAAAACAATCGAGGGGCTTAGACTTTCTATTGGAACATTTTTTAAAACCTGGATTTAAATTTCACGCCAAATTTTTTCCATTAACATTGCTTTTGACTTCTCTGGAAATTCTTAAAATCGTTCGTGATGTGAAAATCTCGAGACAAACGGGCATAACATGTGGCCTTACAATATTTCTTGTTGCCCAGTTGAGGTGTTTCTAGTTCGGAATGCATTTACGAATGGAGCGTGTATTATGATTTCATTATTTACAGAAATTGCTTGTACAATATCAGCTTGGCGAACTTCGCGGAACGTGATGTGAGTCCTTTTCATTTTATTGAAAATTTTATGAATGCCCTCAATATAATGGCTTCATTTATTTCGGCAGAAAATTGACTGGTATCCTGATCGTCAGAGTTATGAATTATGTCTTGTGAAAGGAAAAAGTCAGGTTGGTATGATAGTAATGCGTCCTGCTGAGTTTCATACGTGTAACTCTTGAATCGGATCCTTTGCAGAGCGATTGTCAAAACTATGTTCGAGTTCTATCGCCGGATAAGGATGGGTTTTTCATTTGTGGAACGAATGCATTCAATCCTCGATGCAGAAATTACTCATTTGAGGTTCGTTTCATTGGTTATGGTGAAGATTTGTGCTCCACTAAATATTCACATATTTCATTATAAAATTTCTTACGCTCTTTTCTCCAGGATGGCTCTCTGAAAATGATACAAGAAACGAAGGGAGTAATAAAATGCCCGTACGATCCGCACCTGAACACGACAGCTATAATAGAAAGTGAGTTCACAGACCGGACTAATCTAAAATTGTTTCATTGATCAATTTTTGCGTGTTGGAAATAGATGGGCTCGTGTATTCCGCCGGATATGCCGACTTCCAAGGCTCCGATCCTCTCATTTTCCGGTACCCATTGCGAACCGTGCAGTACGATTTGAAGCATTTCAACAGTAAGTAAATAAGCGTTATCATCTGTAAACTGAATCTGTGTGAGGATAATTTTGAGCTGGTTGGTGTTACGTAATCAAGAATTGTATATCTTCTACTTCGTCAGCTTCATTGCTAAAATTTATCGAGTTTTACATTATGTAGAAAAAGTATCCTTCGCTGTATTGAAAACGCAAATGTCAGACACGAGACCTGCACTTCGTGCAGAACAGTGTTGGAAAACCGTGTGCAGTAAAGAAGTTATAACTTTTATTCAAATTTCAGCTCCCGATTTTGTGGGTTCAGTCTCCATGGGAGAGTTCGTGTTCTTCTTCTTCCGTGAAATGGCTGTTGAGCATACAAATTGCGGAAAGGCGAGTATTTCGACTAGTTCGCTGAAGATATTTTTTCTAACATAAATTTTTTTGTTCTTGCTTGTGAAGGCTATTTTTAGTCGAGTGGCTCGTGTTTGCAAAAACGACATGGGAGAAGATCGTTCGAACCGATGGACCACGTTCCTCAAGGCGCGTCTCAACTGCTCCATTCCCGGAGATTTTCCTTTTTACTTCAACGAAATTCGTAAGTTCATTTCCGTTTGTACCTATCTTGCTTCCGGGCCCAGATGTATTGTTCAAACAAAATTTTTGCATGCGTCACGATTTAGCTTTGGAAAAGTCACCTTAATGATGACACGCATTTTCCTTTCATCTAATACAATTTATTTTGCGTAACGATTTTCGTTGAAATGAGTTCGTTTAATGAAGAAACTTTTTTGCGTTCGTGTTTCTCCATCTTTTCTCAATGTCTAATCGTTATTTTTCGAAAAAGTCAGCTCTCGAGATCAAACTTGGCGCTTCTTCATGATTTAGGAACGCACATATTTTTCAAAGAATTAATTTTTTGTGGTTTGGTGATCTATTTAACACTTTTTTCGAACCCTGTGTTGTGGTTTTATGTGACTGAGTCATACGATTTCTGCCGTAAAAGTACCGTATTATAGTGTGCGTTAGCCAAAGTACTGATTACAAATTCTTCATGTTTTCGGTTTTCAGAAGCAACGACGGGTTTCGTGGAAGGGATCTATGCATCACAGAGAGAAAAAGTGATTTATGCGGCGTTTTCCACTCCGCCGAACAGTCTTTCGGCGTCCGCCGTGTGCGCATTTTCTCTTCAAGGAATTTTGAACGCGTTCGAAGGGCCATTCAAGAAGCAAGAGGGCGGTTCGAGTTGGATGCCCGACAAAGGCGTAAGAATATTGACACATTTTTCAAATTCATATTTCCAGGTAAACTGTAATTGTTTTTATTTTTCTCAGCCGGAGCCAAGACCAGGTCGGTGTGCCAGCAGTAACCGCACTGGTGAAATGCCGCGAAATGCAGACATCGCGTACATTGAAAGTCATCCGTTGATGGACGAAGCAGTGCAGCCAATCTTCGGTTGGCCCGTGCTTTTGCGGACGCAGATGTATGGCCGAGACCGATTTTCTCAAGTAGCTGTGGACCCGCAAATACGCTCTGCTGATGGCTCGACTTATGACGTAGTTTTCGTCGGCACTGAAGATGGCTGGCTTATCAAGGCCGTGAATGCGGAGTCAGCGAGTCTTCGATCCCCAGAGAATCTCGGTTCACGTTCGATCGTAATCGAAGAATTGCGTATTTTTGATAATGGTGGGCCTGTGAGGAATCTCCTCGTGCACGAGGGCAGGATTGTGGTGATTGGAGACAGTGCGGTCAAGTCTTTGCCTTTGTATCGCTGTCAGCATCCCAAAGTGAACGATTGCTGGTGAGTAAACTAAAACTTAAAAGTAAATATTTTTTAACCCAAGAAAGACAGAAACGTACGTCCGGAGTCAAATTATTCGTCATTATTCCAACTGCACTTTAGTCCAGATAGATTTCTACATTCTACAGCAATTTCCTCCGTGCAACCAAAGGTTGTCTGGTCTTGTGTAGACCATCATCTATTAATTTATGAAGTGAAATTTATAAATTAATTCGAAATAAAATTTTTATCGAACTGTATTCGTTGCAGTTGTTTAAGTATATCGAAGTATCTTTCGTTTCTTGTCGGGATTTTGGGAGGGTTCTTCGTAGTAAATTGAGATTCATTTCTAATTTTTTCTTTCACAATTTTTCTGTAGGGATTGCGTCGGACTTCAAGATCCGTACTGCGCATGGGACCGGGAAATCCGCAAGTGCGTCCATTACAATGCAGTGAAAGACAACGGAAAAAGCGATCGGTACACGCAGTCAATTCTGACGGGACACTCGGACGTTTGCGGTTCTCCTCGGGCCAACTGGCGTAAGAATAAGCAGCGCAATCTGGACATCAGTGACTCCTCGGCGCTTCCAGTGGCAACGGACGAGAAGGACCCGTCCTCCTCATCGTCATCCATCAACGGAAATGTCGGACACAGTCCGAATTCCAGAGATGAAGTTATGCACTCCAGCGTGGGTTATGGAGTGCAAGGTGCTTTGTATACAATGGAGACTCTAGCAGTGACGGTAACTGGCACTGGAGTAGGTGCATTGTTGTTGGGTTTTGTCCTGGGGTACTTCCTGGGAAGGAAAGCCCTTGGTTGCAACAAGGATCTGGGAGGAGACGGAAGTGGAAGAGGAGATGGCGGTTGCGTTAGCGCCGAATACGAGTTCCTTGAACAACGTCCTTATCCCACCTCCCATCGGTACGTTCCTTGACCTTGTTCCCGAGTTCAACGAAAAAATAACGCTTCCAAGTACAGTAGTTTGTACGTTGATCTAGTTTCTGGTAATATTTTCCCTTGTAATACAGTATCCACAGTACGGTGTGACTCCAATATCCATTAACAGAAATTTTTACTGTTTAATCTCAACGAGACTTGAAAGAGAGTTGACAATTTTTTTTAGATGCGTATAATTTCAATAGAATATTATATTCTCATATTTTATCATCCGATGTTTCGCGATACACTCGTGACACTGACTAAATTTTCGATAGAATTACACATGATCGACGTAATTATTTGGACTACTGTTCTCATAAACCAACTTAGAACAAGGCGGGGAAGGATTTTATGGATTCTTTTTTTTTTTTCGAAGAAAGCTAGCATCTTACCTAATAAAGTTGCTTGCGACGTCCGTCGGTACGTCCGTTGACCACTCCATCCCTCCTGACTATTCCCCCTACCTCCCTCCCACAGAGCCCCCAGAGAGGCCTGCAGGAGGGTCCCGTTTCCCGTTTCGCGGACTTTAAAAATTTGTGAAAAATTGAATTCTTCATGAAAATTACTTTTTAAAACTTCATAAGAAGCATCATGATGTTGGCCATCTTTTCCTTTTTTAATTTTGAAAAACATTGAATATTGACTGAATTATGATGAAAAACATGGAAACATTTTTTCAAAACGATACGAAAATTGTGAAAAACCATTTTAGTTTCTTAATTTTAACTGTACCAATTTTCATTACTAAAAAAATCCAAAAATATCTAAATTTGTAAAACATCTATGCGCAAGTAGTGCTACAAAATCTTTGAAATTGAGCAAATATTAAAAAATTTACAATGAGCTAAACTGAAAAAAACGGAATTTCTTGAAAATTTT